TCCGATAGATTTTTAGGCATTCCTTCAAGGATTCAGAAAATGTAACTCCCATGTCTAGCCGTAAATTGACGAACGGCAGGAACCGTGTCAAGAACAAACGACCTGAACGAATGCAGGTATCGCCTTGAAATTTTCAGGGCACCTAGGTACCAACGTGAAACGTTCCTCGCCGGAATTTGGTAGTCATGGTACCTTTGGTTCCAGCGTGGCGCATGTGCGAAGTCAAAAGAAGTTGCGGTGGATTTTTGGGTAAATTTCGGTGTGGTTTGGTGGTTTCGTGGATGTAAGATGGCGGCCATAATACAATAACAAGTGTTGAAGAATTTTTGCAACCGGGGTTGATTTTCACTGCACAGGCATCGTTCCGGTGGTCTGATTGCCTTCAAATTTGCACAGAATGTACCTTGGTATTCTAACTATCACATATTAAAAATAGAAGAGTGTGGGATTCCGAGAACGTTGAAAATAAATTCGAAGCCCACCCCCACCCATCAATGTTTTTTTGCTTAAAAAATTGCCGTATTTTATCGATTTTTTATTGTTCTTGATATCTGAGCATTTTCTCCTTTTAATATGTGATAAATATCATCGCGGCGCAGAAATTCCAGAGATTTTGACCACCGGAAGGATGCCTCGGCAGTCAAAAAGGTCAAAATAGGCGATTTAGGATTTTAGTGTCGCAAACATCGTTCCGGTCATTTTTTAAAAAAAATGTCTTTTAAGGATAATGTGTATATCACATACGGAAGAGGCGATAAAATCCCTTTGCATTTGCAATTTCAAAATTAATTAAAACTAATATTAAATTCCGAAAATCGTTTTTTTTTTTTACTAAAACTCTTCTTTTTTTAATCGGATCAAAATGGGAGTAAAGCACAGAGTCCGGGGTGGTAATGGGCGTATTGTGTAAAAATTTCATGGTTTTCGGACAATCGGTACCGGTGTCATGGCGAAATTCGACTTTTTTCCCCTTATAGAAGCCGTAAAAGTGACCTGGAGCCGTGCCAAGAACAAACGACTTGAAGGAATGCAGGTATCGCCTTGAAATTTCCGGGGCACCTAGGTACCAACGTGAAAAGTTCCTCGCCGGAATTTGGTAGTCATGGTACCTTTGGTTCCAGCGTAGCGCATGCGCGAAGTCAAAAGCAGCTAAATACGTTGTTATTGTGGATTTTTTAAAACAAAAATGGTCCTATCTCTTCGAAACTTCGGCTACCCCCCCCCCCCCATTTCCGACCTCGGGGCATCCAAAAATGGTCTCAAAATTAAAATCGAACACCTAGTTCCATCTCTATTTATTGTTTAACTTTATGTACCCCCGGGAAAATGGCCACCACTTGCCCCCCATGGGTCGGGCCCTAAAATTTATTTTTTGGCATTGTGCTTGGGACCATAGGCCAGGTACCCGGTGAGTGTCAAGTTGGTGTGCACGAAAGTGAGATGTGCGCGCGCGTACACTTGAAAACATCCTTGTCGGCACGGAAAACATCAGAGGCGAAATTCGAATTGTTAAAATATTCAAATACCAAACATTCGACCATGAGCCGGGCTATCCTAAAATGTATTAATTTCGGTAATAGGAGACAGATTCTTTAAGCCACGACCAATAGTGTATGTTTTCAAGCCCATTAATGTGGATTTTTCACTAATTTTCATTTTCAATTCAAAATGGCGTCCATTATTTGCCAGAAATATAAAATTTTAATTCCTACATTTTGTAGGCTTCCCTTCAAGGAAGCCTAATAATAATCATAATAATAATAATAATTTTAGTAATTTTAATAACCTTTCAGACGAAATTCTGAATGCCTTATAATAATAATAATAATAATTTTAGTAATCTCAATAGGCTTTCAGACAAAAGTCTGAAAGCCTAATAATAGTAAGAATAATAATTTTAACAAACACAATAGTGTTTCACACAAGCTACGCAGTGTGAAACCCTAATAATAGTATGATAAATGCTTGTTACTTACCGGCTGTTTGTGCTTTTACCAATTTATCTTGTACTCTTTTTGCCAAAGCCATACACAAACAAATAAGGTTATTCTTTTGCAAATAATGCAAACTTTCGGTAAAATGGATTTTCTCTTCTGGTGAAATTGTATCTGCTTGTTTCTAAACATCACTTTCTTCAACAGTTTTGGAATCGTGATAAAGTTTCATACACCGTTTCTCTTAATTTGTCCGTAAACGTTTGTAACGTGGGATGTAATACACCAGTGACAGTGTTTTGTCTGCATATTCATCAATCCTGGAGTTCTTTGTCAAATCGTGGGGGGTCACGGTGGCTAAGTGGGTAAGTGGGTAAGACGCTGGCTCGCTAGCCTGGAGGTCGAGTGTTCGATCCCTGCATTGGCCGAGAAAGTTCACCCAGATTTTCCAGCGTGCCCCCCCCCCCCGTCAGTGATGCAGGACGGAGGGCCTGACAAGTGTAGCTCTCTAGTCATTCGGATGGTATGTAAAACCTTCGTCCCTTCGTCCCGCGTACACATTGTTGTGCACGTAAAAGATCCCTTGACAGATGGAATTCTATATAAGAGTAGGCCGTAGTGCCGCTGTCCGAGCAAAATTTCCCTCATAGCACACTGTATGGTGTATGCCCGTCTTCATGGCGTATGCCCGTCTTCATGATTGTCGAGATAAATAGAGCTTACTAGATACCGCCTGTCGCCAAATCACTAGTTTATCCGACCAAAGAGGAAAGTGTCAAACGGACGGAGTGAGTGAATCAAAGTGAATGAATATTTTCGCCACGATATTTTGTGAAATAGAGCGGAATTGTTTATAGTAGGTTTACAGCAGGATGGGCTTGGTAAGAAATCACTCAGACTCTACAACATGGAAGTCTATGACTGAGTGGGGATGTGGGATTTAATCACCGTAGAAGGTATTGATTACCGAAACGTATCACAAGTTAATTCTTTTTTATTTTCCAAAATTATTTGGGGGGGGGGGGCAAACAGAGGGCCCCATTGCATCAGACCTTCCGTTCCAGAGTTATGCCCCCTGCCTTTCACGCAAAATGTGTAATATGTGCAAAGTTTGTGGACATTCCGGAGGCGACAATTTTTATCCGATTCAGATTAAACTTAAACATACTGAGCGATGGGCGGCACAAACAGGGCACATAAATAATAATCGAAGGCATTCTCTGGAAATCTAGAGAAGGGGCTCTTCGAGAATGTTTAAATATACATTATGCAAGAGCTAAATCTGCCTATTGCAGGTCTTTCTTTAGGCCTGAAATGTTATTTGAATTTTTAATTAAACATTAATTAACTTATCCAGACCATAATCAACCCTCGATGTCATCGCTAGCCTGTGATATTTACTGGATTAATTATGATCGAGGCTAGGCCGAAAATTCAATCGCTCTATTCTCGGCTCAGAGTGGAACAATTTGACTGAACTTTTCAGCAAATTCCGTTTACATTATCTAGTTTTTAACTATTATAGTGAGAACTGCCAGCTCTTTATCTAATCTCCCATAACGTATCTTTAACATAAATGTTAAACCCTCTAGAGCCCACAATGTTCCAATTTAGATAAAACTTAAAATACGAATTCGACTTTGAGATCATGATATGTGTTCAGTTAATTATGTTGTTGTGCCCACGCTTAACAATACATTCCGATATATTGATGCCATAATTGTGAATAATGCAGACTATTACATAAAGAAACATTCTTACTGCAAATATATCAGCAAAATTTACAGGCCAGATGAAAGACAACACCTATATATGTGTTATTATTATTGCTACATTTATTACTTTTAAGTAATAATAATAACCATTGACCAACCCCTATCATATTTCATTTGCAATCTATAGAGTATGTTTAGTTTGGCTCTCCACATTTATTGTAATCGTATTAAAATATGTTGTAAATTTATTATTATCTTAAGACTTGTTATTTTTGAACTTGTGTAAAACTTGACTAACGTTTATTGACGTCAATAAGTATATAAAAGATATATACTACCGACCTGGGGCTTTCCCCCTTTTATTCATTGAAGCCAATGCGTTATAATCTCAGATGTGTGGTCTTTTATATGCCTAATCTACCTGTACAAAAATGACAAGATTAAACATGGTTAATTTTAGTGTTAATTTGTCCTTCTCGTATTTATTGAATGACTGTGTCGAAGAGAAAACTTTAATTAAAGGGGCATTAGGTAAGATTAGATAGAGAGCTGACAGCTCTCCCTATAATAGTTAAAAAAAGACAATGAAAACAGAATATATGCTGAAAATTTCAGTCAAATTGCTTCTCTCTGAACCGAGATATTAGCGATTCAATTATAGGCTAGCCTCGATCGTCATTGCTAACGTTAGTACGATAATAAACAAAGTCTCGAATATCCATTTTTACGTTAAATTATCCATCACAAAATGTATTCAAATCCACTAAATATCACAGACTAACGATGGCATCGAGAGTTGATTATGGTCTGGATACGTTAATTGATATGTCTAATTAATAATTTAGATAACATTTCAGGCCTAAGGAAAGACCTGCAATAGGTAGATTTAGCTCTTATACATAATGCATTTGTAAGACCCTGGGTGTGTCATTTATTTATTTCACTAAAGGCAACATAACACTGTAGGAAATTTAACTGAATGTATACTGATGTCCCAAAAATAGTATACACACTAAAAGTATGACTAAGTTCTGTGTAGATTTAAAACATTTGATAAAGCATTACTGAGTTTGTCTCTTGCGTCCAAACTCAACATTTCTAAGCAAAATAAAAATGTGAAACAAATTGATATTCTACCCAAATACCGTATACCATGAAATTGTACGCGAAAGGGGAGATAAATCTATAATTTGATTCCAGGCGTGAATAATATTTTGTATGTGTTGAAACATGATCTAATGAAAAGAACTACGACTATATTTTCTATTGAAAATAACAAACGAGGTTATAGAAAAGGGCAACGATCGCTTTTATTGATATACCTACACAGCCCTCAGACAACAAGGTACGCATTTCAATTCGCCATTTTAGATTTCACATCGTTCCACTATGGAGATTCTAAATTTGATAAAATTTGCGGATATTTGTAAATGGACTAACTCTTAATTCATATTATATTAAGTGAATTTGACACTTTTATTAGAGTAGAGGGACAGATGAAAATTGTTTACGATTTTCTGTGATTTAAGGAAGTAAACTCATTATTTTGAGGGGGTTTTTTTTAGGTAAGATCATTTTTTTTCAAATTTGAATTTTTATTTCACGAATGTTTGTCTTAGACATGATATTTATCACATCGACAGCAATCTTTTATTTCTTTATTGGCCTGTTTTTGTTTTGTTGTTTTTTTTGTTTTGTTTTTTTTAAATCGTCGTAGGTGATTTAAAATATCATGCCACACAGGTGTTACATTTTAAAATTTTATTTTACTTTGCTCTATGACGCAAAATTAATGTGATGTTGTAAAGTGTATATATACTCCATTTTGTTTATAACTGTAACGAGACTGTAATTTTCCACGAAACATTGTGTCGGGTTTCTAAGATACCGTTATGCCATAGCCTGGAATGTCGTTGTTTGGTCTGTGTTTTGCCAATCGTAACAACAAATGGTTACCAAAATACACAAAACACACACGTCATGTCTTACGCCATTTTTCTCTCTGTGATCTTCAGTTTTTGTATCAGGTATATTAAGTTTCTTTATAGAAAATAAAAGAGGAACCATCTGGAATAATAATAATGATATACTGGTAAAGGGGTATAGCAGCACCCCTCAGGCGCTAGTCAAGAGATGGGATGGGTGGGTGGGTGTGTCGGAGGGGTGGGGCTCTCTTGCGCGAGCAGAGCATATTTGTTTCTTCTTACAAGCTCGCAAACCATTTCCGCCAGTTTGGCCTCACTCCACTCAAGCCGGACTTGAAGTTGTCTCTACCCCCCTCCCACACACACACACACACACACTAACACACCGCTCAAATTCTTAAACTCTTGAATACGCCCCTGACCCTAACCCCCTTTTCAGATCTCTACAGTACCAATACCAGTACAGTACCGTCTAAAGCAAATATAGGATGTAGGATGTAAAACCGGATTTCATGTCAAAACTTAAATATTGTTGCTTTGAAAATATGATTGATTTAAAGGGACAATAACACTCTTGCTGGCTTGAAAGATCCAGAAAATAAATAATATCTCTATCTAAGTACTAGATGTTTAAGTGTCCTACCTGTTGTGGAAATTATCCATTACATCCAATTTTACTCGAAAATATTTTTAAATCAAAGTTTCATTTGAAAAGGTTTACGTTAGACGTTTCAAACCATTATGTTAAATTTTTCAAAATTTTTAAATAAGGTGTGTTAAGATGAAATTTGTATCATCAATTAATTGAAATATTCTAAATAGTACAATTTGTTGACCAGAATAAAGATTGGGACATATTATTCAGTTACAACAAGAGTGGTATTGAGCCTTTAAAATATGGACAACAGGAAAAAGAGAGTTGAGGTAATTTTAGTAAAACGTTATTAGTATTTGAGTTTGAGATTGAATATCTGTCACTCTGTTGGATTTACCATAGAAACACAAAATACATATTCTGATATCTTAGTCATCTAAAGCCAATATGGAGTTTTACCAAGTGTCAGATTATCTATACGGAGGAGAGCTATCAAACGAATTGAAATTACTTGCCTTCACAACGAAGATGGTAGTTGCTAGTGGAGCAAAATTATCTTTTGCTCCACCACCTCACCCTACACCCCCCTACAACGCGTTACGATCCGTAGGACTACATAGCGATTCAAACTTGTTCACAACATCTACCACTTGATGATAACGTAACATTCCGTGTAATCTTATGCCAATAATGGTGTGAAATAAAATGAAATACAAGATGTCAATAATGGTGTGAAATAAGATGAAATACAAGACCAATTTAAACTTTGAATGCATTTTGATAAAGACTGTACCGTGCGATATGGAACTGGTTCGTCCAAAGCAAATACGTTTAAATATACTTTTCTTTTGAAGGACCAGTACTAGGAAGAAATATTTTGCTATAAATTGAAAATGTAGGAACATCAATAAAAATGTTCTAATTAGTTGTAATATAGGTGTAATATATACAATAAATCTATATAATATATACGTTTATAGGTAACCTTACATGTTAAATGTTTGTTAACAGCATATATGATTTAGTTAATGTGCTTTAAGCGCTATTGGTGACAAATACACTCTTTGTAAACAAGTAGAAACCATGCACAAACTAAGTGAATATCAATCGCATTCCCCATAATACACCAGCAAATGTTTGCTTCATAGCAATTCTATTAAATAATGATTTCTTTCATTGGATGTTGACAATGGCAATGGTCGCTTGTTCAAAAGGTAAAGGTGTGTTTCAATAAAAACACATTCATATATTTATTAATAGTATTGTGTTCTGTTATTTGTGTCGTTATGACGATTTTCTTGTTTATAGTAGTCAGGCACAAACCAACTCAATCTAATACTTGTGCGTGAAGAAGAATCTATTTTTGTGGAGAACACGTAGAAAACGGTTTAATTATGTGAGAAAACCAAACCGTAAATAGGTGGGTTAACTGATGTAAGATATAAAGTTACAAAACATGCTGGAAATAAAACAATTGTGAATTGGAATTTCTTGCATGATCATTTAACAGGACTTGTTCGTCACCCTGGTACTTGTCTACTGAATATACTTGAACAAATAATTTTCATTAAAGAAACAAAGTGCTTTAAAATTGTAGACTTCAGTTAAAATTTTGGAGTGTTGATTTGTTGGGGTTTATCTTGGAGGTATTTTCATTCTATATGTGAAAAAAAGTTCAGCACTTAATTTTATCCTAAATGAACTGGTAATATATTAATGTCAGTCCACTTTCCGATTTCTGTGTAGTTATATATATTTCACGTTGTTATTTCAGATAAAAAAAATATTTAGTTCACGAATACTAGAAACTGTTAAAAATGATTGAAACTATGTTGTAAATTATACAGTACTTTACCAATTGCTAGTTTCTATAAACGAAACAAAGCACCACTATTTTGACATATTTTTAAAAGCCTGGTGGACTAATTCCTTACAATCTAATTATCTTATTTTATATATTATTTATATTTACAGAAAATAGCTAATGAACGAGATAAATTAGACAGAAGACCAGAAACAGTATCTAGTAAGTTTTAAGTTTGAACTTCTGATGATAAAGCTAACACTAGACACGAATTTGGCTATTCTTATCAAAATTACACAAGTTCTACTGTAACCCTTCGCCCTTTTTGCCTTGGTGTTATCGGCTTTCGCATGCATTCTTGCCTTCACTTGATGAAAATGCAAGCAAACTATTTTTTGATATTTTCAACAAAACCGGTGTCTGTACGCCGCCATTCTCATCAATACGAACACGAAAATTAATACGTGACTTCATCCTGTAACCTGTGTTCGTCGAATACAGTTTTCTCGAAATTCAAAGTATACCACGAGAAACATGTTCGTATAGTATACACACCTACGTGAATCCAGCGACATATGCGTAACATTTTCTACGCGCGAACAGGGATGACGTCACAAGTACACATAAATTTATACCGATGCGAAAACTGTATTCGACGGACATGGATTACGGGATGACGTCACACGTGCACATAATTAAAATTTATATGACGTGTTCGTTTTGGTACCTAGGGACCTATTTCAACATTTTAGTTACTATGATTAAAGTGACATAGTAAACATCGTGTAGATTGTGTGTGGTTTAAGTTAGAGAGAAATGGAGTTTAACGTCCACTCGACACAAACTAGGTCATTTCGGGACTAACATAGGGTTCAATTTTATTTTAATAATTCGTTTGTGCGTAGGGGTCTTTAGCAGTGGGGGGAATCCGGAGGACCCAGAGATAACCCATGAGGTTGGACAAGCAACCCTACTTCTTGTCACGTGTAAGCGGAGAATCGAAACCACTCACTGGATTTAATGACAGACCTTATGATCCAACGCGTGCGCGTTAAACATTTGGCCCCACCCCCACCCCACCCCCCTTTAAGCCGGATATAGATAACAATGCACCTAGAACAAACTGCAACATAAATCATTTCTTTGGGAACTATTCAGATATGGTCTCTAGCACTCCCATAACGAAAGCGGCCATTATCGGTCTTGGGGAAGTGATAAGTGATGCCTTTGAAGATGTGGACGATATTTCTATTTTTGATCTCATAAGCTGACACTGGCAACATCAGATGTGTTCTATTTCATTGATATCTCTATATTTCTATATTTTGTTTTCATATTTTAAATAGGTAGACTATCCGTATCGGCTTTTATTAGGTGGATATAGATGAAATGAAATGAAATGGGGTTAATGTCCTACTGTTCTGCTCCGACTGGGCTAATGAAGACTGGCATACGCCATACAGTGTGCTATGAGGGAAATTTTGCCCTGACAGCGGCACTACGGCCTACTCTTTCATCGAATTCCAACTGCGAAGTGAACTTCGTGCACGCCAATGTGTACACGGGATCTCGGTTTTTCGTGCCATCCGAGAGACTATACATTGTCCCTTGCCAGGCCCTATATCCGGCACCACTGACAAGGGGGGTGGGGTCACACGGGAAACTCCCGATGAACTTTCTCGGCCAACGTAGGGATCGAACACGGAAACCCCAGGAAAGCGAGCCAACGTCTCACTCACTGAGCCATCGTGGCCCCCTGCTACAGATGAACGATGACATAAAGTTTCAGTTTGGGTGAAGATGTGTTCTTTTATACAAATTGTGCAGCGGTTCGTTGTTTCCAGCAGTTTTCCGAGCGCAGTTACAATAAAATTTGATAAAGACGTCAGAAGATTTCGGAGATTTTCTGGACAACTGGCGGCCATCTTGGATTTATGATAATTATGCAAATTTCCTTAATATCGATAATGGCCGCTTTTGTTATGGGAGTACTAGAGACCATACCTGAACAGTTCCCAAAGAAATGCTCTCTGTTGCCGTCTGTTCTAGCCTCCCCCTCCCCTCCACCTCTCATATTGTTATATCTACCCATCTACAAAAGGCGCATTGACGAATACTGTTTTCCTCAAACTGCCTAATCAAATTAAGTTTGTGTTCTGGGCTGAGCGATCTACTGAGCGATGGGGGGGGGGGGGGGGGGCACAAACAGGGCACATAAATAATAATCGAAGGCATTCTCTGGAAATCTGGAGAAGGGGCTTTGCAAGAGTGTTTAAACATACATTATGCAAGAGCTAAATCTGCCTATTGCAGGTCTTTCTTTAGACCTGAAATGTTATCTAAATTATTAATTAGACATTAATTAACTTATCCAGACCATAATCAACTCTCGATGTCAACGCTAGCCTGCGATATTTACTGGATTAGGATCTGATTTGCTGCTCAACTTTCATTCATGATTTAATCATGAAATGGATAGTCGCGACTATGTTTTTTATCGTACCAACTTTAGTAATGATGATCTAGGCTAGGCCGAAAATCCAATCGCTAAAATCTCGGTTCAGAATCAGAGAGGATCAATTTGACTGAAATTTTCAGCAAATTCCCTTTACATTGTCTAGTTTTCAACTATTATAGTGAGAACTACCAGCTCAAAATCTATTCTCCCATAATGTGTCTTTAAGGAACAATATTCTATTGACCATTAAAGTGAGGGAGCCCGTGCCCGAACTGTATATTGTAATGTTTTTATTAGCTATTGAAATATTTTAGGTAATAACGATGTAGAACATCGACTTAAACTTCAACATGCAGTACTCAGACGTCAGGAACTATTGGATAGAATTAGAGTGAGTTTTATTATTTTTCAAACCAAATATTAAACCAAATATTAAGTAATCATAATTAGTGACGTGAAGACGTTTAGTGATGCCCGGAGTCAACCCCTTGACATTGTATGCCCCCAAGACTCAAGTATAGGGCTTAGTGAGAAAGAAATATTTCCGGAATATGTGAATTACAGATGAAATAAACTTTTTATTGAGATTGAGTAAGGCAGCGATCATTTTAAATTGCAAAAAAGCTTGATTTTAATATCACTCTTAAATCTATTCGTAAGGGGAAAGTGGTCAGAGAATTTTGAAATTCGTTAAATTTATGGGATTTTTCAGTTAAATACCCCCTCGAAATACACCTCTAATATATAACCTTTGATATAGGATATTACTAAGAACCCGTCCATTATTGTATTTTCAGCAAGAACAATTAAACAGACCTAGAACAGAAAGTCCTCGTAGAAGATTTACACCTTCACCTATATTACTCCCCCCTCCTTCACGAAGATCTTTACCTGATCTGAGTAGGAGTATTGTTATTAAAGATAATCGCGGGACGAGTAAGTATCATGTTTTTAATACGAAAGACCATTAGGGTCTATCAAATATAATAACAAGATGGTTATATAAAATGGCCATCTTGTAATAACGAGATAGCTATCTTGTAATAACACAATCATCAGAATGTTTTTTTTTTTTCATTTGATTGACCCTAATGGTCTTCCGTAGATTAGCATTGATATCACCCCCATTATTCGAAGATTAGTGCATTATAATAGTCAGTACAGACTTAATGAGTACAATAAAGCCAATCAGACTTTGGAATTTGATCACATCAACGGATTAGCTGGTGTAATCCTTTTCAAAAAGCGGTTATCAAGAAACTGATTCTTGCGAAGTGAGTTAAAAGAAATCTACTTGTAAACTTTTAGTAGAATTAACACAGCCTCTAGGTCTTGGGATATTATACCATAGCATATAAATTTAAATGGCAATTCGTCTAGTATTTAAACCCAAGAAATGCTATGGCTGTACATATATATTTATATCAACGTTTTCTCTTATTACAGACAATATGTCCCAAGTGAGACATGTAATAGAACACAGAGGCCACGATTCCTTCAGACCCTACCACTTACCACCAATTCAACAACCTTATATTGGAGCACCGCCTATAGCAGCAGCACCCCCTGCAATCATGGCACCACCACCACAACAGGTTTTTCAACAGCCAGCTCCTCAAATGATACAACAACCCGCACAACAGATTATACAAGCACCACCAGCGCCACAGTTTTTACAAGCACCACCGCCACATATAATACAAGCACCACCTGTAGTACAATCAATGCCCGCGGTTCACACATCACCTATAATAAATCATGTGGAACCTATACACAACCATGGACAAAAAAATACTTGGTTTAATAAAGGAGGTGAGTGATGTACATTTAAGAAATAACTCCACTAGAGGAGTTGTTTATTGAAATTCTGATTGTCAAATGATACATAGTCATGAATGATATGGGGGTTTAACGTCATATTGTTCTGCACCAAGACGAACAGTGTGTTATGAGAGAGGTTTTGCCCCAACAGCAATTTTCGATCCATCCTATCTAGAGAAGCCTTCCCAAACCCTGCCCTATACATACCCAATCACACACGTTCACGCACACTTTTCAAATACCCTGTACCTATATACCTGTTTATTTAAGATTTTATGGATATGATGATGATGCAGAATGCACAGATGCACCATATGGCTATGCAACAATTAATGATAAATAGTTTAGGCGGCGGTAGACCAGCTGGTATGGGCGGCGGTGAAGTAAGTTAAGCTTTCTTATTTTACTGAACAAAAATATTAAATATCACGACAAAGATAATATTACCTGAACAACTATGAATAGAAATTTTGGAAAATGACAGAATCCTTCACGATATATCAAATTTTTGTACTTTTGTTATTTTTAGCGCCAATCGGTACAACATCATCACTATCCCCAATCAGCCCCTGCGGCTCCACAGATGTATCATCATCAATTGCCACAGATGGGTTATGGAATGGACATGTGAGTATATATTACATTTGAACATCATGAAATTTGAAATGTGTAGTCTTAATCGATGGGTACGTCGATGTCACCCAACTCTATGTTGCTGTTAATGGGGCTTCTCGATCTGTTAGGATAAAAGTGCAACCCATAACTGCATAATATCAGGGAACTCATTCAAATTAGGATACATGTATCAAAATTAGCACAAATACTCATCGGGGACCATAGAAAAGGTGCATCAGCCATTCGAAAACCAAAGATGGCGGTCATTGTTAAGCTGGTCGACTTCCGGGCAACGAAATATTTTTCCATTTTTTGCGATAGAATCAGACCAAACTGTCATATTTTATTGATCCGTAACAAAGATTTTACGTTTCCTATAAATCAGACAAAAATTATGTCCTCTTGAGGGACCACAAACTTTATTCAGCTAACTTTCTGAGTAACAGACAAGGAACATAACCCAAGATCTTTGCTGTCCGAAGCGCACAAAAATCAAACCCATATTAGAACAGACCTGTTGGAAATAAACATACATTTTAAGTTTCATCAAAATCGGATAAAAATTGTGAACTCTAGACTGTCCAAAATCAATGTGAACGGACGTCCGGTCAGATGGACATGGGCGACGATGAAAATATACAAATCCTTTCAGTGGTTGAAAAACCGTGAAAAAAAAGGATAAAATGACAGCCATCTTACATGAATATCCAAAATATCTTATCCAACCGTACAGACCTTCGCGATCTCTAAGACTAAGTAACTAAAACCTGGGAACCCCGAGAGTCTCATCTCAGTTTAGACAAAGAGCATTCTTATATATTGCCCTAACATTATGGAATAGATTTTTACATACATAAAACAAAATGTAGCCACGCTATGCAGTATTCGAGAGAATCTTAAAACAGAAATATTTAAACATGCTTATAATAATATGTAAATTCATTTGTATACATTTTATGCTGATGTATTTACTTGCATAAATGTCATTCTAAAATCAGTTCCACTGTGCCATGCAGCTACGCTACTTGAAATGTGTGGGATTTACTAACGTATTAACTTAGAGTTATTTATTATTTTTGTTTGGTGATTTTACTAATGCTTTTTTTATTATTATTTGTGACAATAGGGGTGGAGGTTATGGACGAGGTGAGTACTACTAGTAATAAAAAGTGAGTACTTTACTTTCCTTTGTGTAGACCAACATTTAAAATTACTGTATGGATTCATTTAAAGGGAAATTTTACCTGCCCTTCTTGATATAGCGGTTTATTATTCCTTTTTATTGTTACACTTTACCCTATGAACTGCCTTTTAAGGGCGTTCTGATTTTGTTTAGCGAACACAACTAAACCCCCCTTTAAGTTATTGATATATTATTACCAATGTTTTGCTTGATGTAAAAGAAATCCATACAGTATTTTTCAACACTCTTCAGTGTGTTGGTTTTGGCGTTTTGAGAGCAAACTATAACAGCAATTGTTTGAACAAAATGGGATTTTTGATAGACATGCATTTAAGATGTCCAATTATAATTACGTTTTAAAGAAAGGTTTTCCGTCCATAAACATTTCTTTTTTCAGTCATTAGACGTTATGTTAGACCAGTATTAGATAACAACAGTAAGGATATAGGGTAAATTAATGTGTACCCATAATAGATAAAAGAGTAAAGTAACAGCACCACACTCTTGCACATTACTCTTTTTAAACCTCGTACACGCCTTACATATTCCGTACAAATACCCTCAAATATTTACATTCCTATAAAATAACCTTAAGCGCATGCTCATTGTATTTATACATAGGGTTTAGCTTTCTTACTTTCTTTCACAAAAAGTATAATTTTTACTTTGTTTACCTTATTCTTGTCTGGATTCTGTTTCATCTTTGATCCCCGTTTCCTAAATTGCTTTTCATCATATACGTTAAAAACTCATACGCAACCATAACTGCATTACGTATTATATCAGTCTGTGCAATTGAGTTTATTCGCTATGGTTAAACTAATTTGTGGTTAGACATTATTGAAACTTGGTTAACTAACAGATCTTTATTAAAAGTAAAGAATGTGCTTATAAGAATGTTATAAATATTATTAGCTTCTAAAACTATACGATCAATAATTGTACTGGAAATTTCGAAATAAACGCTTTTTGAATTTTGGTGTTCTCTTTCTTTTGTTACAGTGGAATGGTCCCGTAGTAATAGTAACGTTCGGGGTGGCGGAGGAGGAGGAGCCAATTTTTATTATGATGATGGATCCAACTATTTTGTTTACCACTGACCATTGATAACGTTTACTACCATAGTGTTGTTGTATGTGTTACCATTGTGATAAACTAAAGAATGAACGATTGTTTTTGCGCATGAATGATATTTTCACATTCTCATTAAGCAGAAAAAGACTTTATATTCAGTGGTTATTTAATAGATTTTCAATTGCGAACTATGCAGTGCCAAGCTTTACTTTCCGAATTTTTAAAAAAATTACAATTTTCTTTTCTATAAGTCATTAAAAACAATTAGCAAAAAATACATCAAGAATTTCAAAGGCCAGTTATCATGACTTACCAATGCCATGACATTATTATCTAAAATATTAATTCGCATAATTAGTAATAAATAACAAATGGTTATTATTTCATTTGTATCATATTATAAATAATTTGAATTGTATTGTCTCATTTTAAATTATCAAATATATATATTATTATTTTAATGAATATATCAACCATGTTATTCTTTTAGTTTTTTCGTCTTATGACTTTTCTTTGTTGTTTTAGTATGAGATTAACGGGATCCTATATTTCGAGACATATTCCTGTAGTTTTTGTAGTGCAATAACATCAAACTAATCCAAGGAAAAATTAATTCTTATTATTTATTAATGTTTGGTTTTTATTTATTCTTACCTCGAAATGACTGAACAAAAGTAGAAGCTATCCATACCCTTCAGGCTATTCTGTGATAAAGTCCCGAATGTGACTAATTAGTTTAATTAAGTAATCTTCTATTATTGTATATATTATAACATTCGTTCAAGAATAAAAAAACTGTTTCTTTTCATAACGATTTTTGTTTTAGTTAATTATTTCATTGTGTGTAACAGTTGTTGATGCGCATGGACATATAGTTTCTCCCTTAATTTCAATCACTTTGGATTTTGCATGCCATAGTGTGCCATAAGACTGTTTGCACGTAGTGTTTATGTTTCCTTTTATATGCTATATATATAATATACACCATTCATTTAATATGTTAGACTATTAAATTTAATTGTAAGTAAAAGCTTGGCACAGCACGATTGTAATTGCAAATCTGTTTAAATAATTCATATTAGATATATTTTCGAACGAAACAAATGTTGGGAGAGACTATATTATTTCATGGTGCACATCACAGCACATGGTGACAATTTTGTGAAAAATATTTAAGAAATTATCTGTTTTTGCCACCCCACGTCACTTTCTCTCAGTGGTATACTTTTTTGAATTGCGCTTACGGTGGAAATCAATCATCCATCCTCTAACTTAATATCAATTCTACCTTTGTTCATAAACCTTTGCTAATTTTTTTTCTAAAATTTCGCCTTGGGTTTAAGAGACGCACGGCATTAGTTTATTACATCTACTGTCCAGACACTTTACACTGGGCCCAGTCCACGGGAAAGCTTACCCATATGTTTGAATTCATTTCCGGTAAAATAAAATCCATTAAACAATTCAATATATTCAATCTGATTAAAACACAGATCCTATTTCGTTTCGGTATTTTATAGTTCAACATTTCTTTTTACTTGTCTTTACTACACTAGGATCTAGAAGAGTTGTTATATTACAGGCGTTTTGGTTGAAGTGAGGTATTAGCCAATGAAACGGTCTGTTACGGTGAGTTCTTAGCGTGCCATGTACGGAACTGTGGGTAAACCACTGGAAATGTCAACGCTGATTGATTAATCAATGTCTGACGTCATAGGCCAAAGGCCGCTCGCACGACCCCTGACACGACCTACTAGTACAACTTGTCAGATCTTCATGTATTATAGGCCATCGAAATTATAAAAAAAAACAAAAAACGAAACGAAATATAGATTTGTATTTTAATCAGATTGCAACATATTGCAATGCATAAAAAAGTTATCTTTTGAAAATTTGGGCTCCTCACAAACTTTGTCACCATGAAATACTATAATGGAAGCTAATAACGTCACGGGTCGGAATAGATCATTTCGTACAAAGGGGTGACAGCATAATATCTATCAAAACAGTGTGTGCCTCTATTACGATAGGTCAGGTTTTAAATATGAAAAAACTATGTTTTTAGTTTGGATGTTCTCACACATGTATAGTAGGCCTACATGCCAGTTGTCCGTTAGGTTGTTTCTATCCTATCTATTGAAATATGCATATAATGTCGGTGGATAGCTTCCCTTATATCATTATGGTTAAAACTGTCGAATTTCGAAATTGAAAAGCCCCCTTTAATTGTTTTGCTGGTTTGATCGCGCTATGAACTAAATAGTAAACGGAAATCTTTAGAACGAATAATAAGTCTGAAGTATACTGTATAACCTCTGGCGTGAGCTTTATTTCTTATCGTAATATTAGTTTTAGAGGTCGAAAAGTTTTACTTTAAGTGGTATACGCTCAGTGAAATATTCATTGCGAATCAAATTTAGTAGACTGGTGATCAGTTGTTTCAATGTTTCAATTTTAATCTCCTATGTAATAGCCCTCAGTTCGCTCAGACAAAAGGTAAGTCACAGTACTGTACTAATTTGATCTGTTTATGTCTTTTTTTTATGGGCCTGATCGAAGGAACAGAAGACAGATCTTCGGTGGAGTTTTCGTCCAATGATTAATGACACGACCTGCCGATTAAAATTAGTGAAAATAACAGCTTTTTGCAACTGAGGCTTGCCATCTACAAATAACACAAAATCAATTAAAGGCGTAATTTCGACCAGTTCTCAGCGTGATGATATGATAAATTGGGTAGTTTAAAAGGAAGTTGTCATTATATTCGCAAGGACTGCGCCATTTTGCCCTCGTGTTAACTAAGTTCGAAGGCGAAATCACTTGGCTTCTTTCCTTTGCGGCTTCTTGCATGTTTTTGGCAATGCGTTTTAATTCCGTTGTCAACCATTCATATGTTTAATGTCTTCCTATATTTTACATAAACATCTCTTTTCATTGTTCTTGTCGTTTCTTCAATTTTTTAACTTCTGATCGTTTTATGACGTAATTTGTTCCTGTCGTTTATTTGAAAATATGGATATTTGTTTTCTGTATCATCTCTGTTTCATTTGGAAAGGTATGCTAATATTGGGAATATAAGCGCCTTCATAATCTTTCTATTAGTAACAAGATACAGCATAAATTATTTACTCTGCCTAAATGAGTACAGGTATTGTACTGTCAAGAAAGAGAAGGCGTGTCTTGTATTACATTGGACTTTTACTAAGGCCACCAGCATTCACCAGACAAGTTGTTTAATTACCCGAACACAACAAAGAAAGAATGCTTATCGTTCTTGGTGCGTTTCGAAAATATAAATGTTTCGCTCACTTAATGACAATATTTGTCATTAACTAATGCCCTACCTCTGAAATATTTCATTTTATGATATTATATTGGTTTGCCTGAAATATTTGGCATGGAGTATGGAAAGTGCAAATCTGGGACTTAAAGTATCTACTACCTACATTTATATACCTCAAGGTATTCCAACATCACCAGTCTATGTTTCACAATTTCCAAGTTGTTTTCAAATTCTGATTCTTTCATATCTTCTTTCTTTTATTTTGTCCTCTTTGGGCATTTTTTGTTTGGCACTATGGTCTCTTGGTCACTAAACTGAACTAAGAGTTCCAGATTTGAATCCGACGTGGGTGGAACAAATGCCTAATTGGTTATTGGCTTGGAATGTTGTGACCTTTTTTTGGTAAGATGAAACATACGGCAACAAACAAGTTTGACGTTATTCAATTCAAGTTTAATGGTAAAACAATCCAGACGATCACACATTTGTCAATGAACATCACTATACACATAAATGATCATGTTTTAAACAAATAAATGATTATGTTTTGAACAAATAAATGATCATGTTTTGAACAAATAAATGATCATGTTTTGAGCAAATAAATGATCATGCTTTGAGCAAATAAATGATCATGTTTTGAGCAAAGATATGATCGTCTGGATAGGGCGTTATGTGAGAGGAACGAGCCTTTTTGTGGGTTATGTGGAAATGATATTGGCTGGATTGTGCTATATTTCAAAATGGTATACGTTTGTGAGACATATACAATGAATTCAACCTAGTTATTTAATAAGTTGCTGTTTACTTTTTATATACACTTATGGTTATTAACAAGAGCTCAATAAAAAATAATCAAGCTGACACCATTGTGTATATAATAGCTTTCTTTTACTGTACGAATATCCATATAGCATATTTAAATGCATGGGGCTAGCATGATATGCTACTTTTTCTATTCTTGAAATTAAACTAGTAACACGGGGTTTGATTTGATTGTTAAACATTTCTATTATCTCTGTGCAATTCTCAATTTATCACCAAACCCCAGGTATTCTTCTTAATATCTGATATGGCGTAATCACTGTTATGACTTTCACGTAATCAACAGACTTACATGTAGATACGTAATTTTCCTTCAGACGGCCTCCCTTCCGTCAAAAGGTATTATCAACTTTTAATACACACCCCACATTATCACCCCTTTCCCATTTGAAAGGTTTAAACCTCGAAACTAAATTATATCAGTATCGCATACTGTATTCAAACGTTGCTGTTATTTTCTTAATCAAAACGTGAAAAGTTTGGTACTACTTCTATGATATAGATCTTAAAAATAAAAAAAAATTGTGTGAAGGGTGTTTTTTGTTGCAGGTGGATGGAGAAGAAGATGGCGTACAGGTAGAAATACAGCACCCGTAGCAGGTACAATATATACACACAATAAATATATTCCACACATGCTCTACTGTTAAAAAAACAAAACAATAGAAAATATTGTTTTACCCCGTTTTGGCGTTAAATATATTTTAAGATTTATCCCAAACGAAGCTCATGCGGAATCTTTATACGAATGTATATATATTTGAGGTTTCCTGGAATATAAAACAAATTTAAATGTCATGGCGTTGCGTTCAGTGTTGTCGTTAACGTTTGAGTTTTGTGTGATTAACTTGATCGAAGTAAGAAAATTGAATACTATCGGTATGTTTAAATCGTATACAAGTTGATGAGAAACAGTACAGATTCTCTTACAGGTAAGAATAATGCAAATAAAGCGTTATGTCATGGCGTCCTTATATTTCACTTGACGGAAACAAACAAACAAATCAACAATAATCGGTATGAAATACATATCATAATTTCGATACACTTGAATTATGACGCCATGACAAAAACGTTTTGTTTTATATACTCTACAAAAAAGTAGGGGATATTCAGAAACAATACAAAACGGCGGAAATGCACTGTTGTTTTTATTGGAGGTAACCAGTGCATGTTAATAAAAGGCCAATTAACTACACATGAACATAAACAGTTCATATGGGCGGCTTATCTGACGGCCCCATTTCACTCGCAAAGAGATACACAGTCAAAAGTGAAAAAGGACGTTTTTGATTTTTGTCTTAATAATGAGTAATTGCTCCAACAATCCTCAGACATTCAGCAATTCGTCGTGGTATGCTCCTAATCAACCGTCCAATCACGATTTGGGGCAATCTAGCCCACTCCTCTTGCAGTGCCACGGCCAATTCTTGCATTGTTGTCGGTTGACGTTGACGTCGACGAAGACGTTTCCCGATCAAATTAAATGTAACACACTAAAGCCAAGATACGCTGAACAGTAAATCTTATGCAAGAACCGATAGGAAAGCAAACATGGATAGATAAACCAGCACGCGGTAGTTTTCATCAACCCTTCCATGGAGTGTCAATTTGACAATGAACCCCTCCCACGTGTATGGCGCTATTGCGTGTCGCATGTGCAGCTCAATGGTTCTGTTGGGGCGATAAGTTCCTCATCTGTGAACATACTCTCAAAGCATGTCAAATGTCCATGACTATTTATCATATCGCAACCTGCATAGGTATTTGCATTTCAATATCCCCTACTTTTTTTGAAGAGTAGATTAGAAACATCAATATATCATATCAGAAACTTTGAAATTTGAAGAAACCAAAACTCTAAAACTGAACAAGGTATTCAAAAAACTAAAAAAGTGAGTGGGGTACCTGGATATTAAAATATGAAAATCATCACAACAATAATATATTTTAGAGGCATTTAGTAACTGGATAGAGCAATAAACTATACCACATACTTGCTTGAAAACGTTGAGAGAATACTCTTCAAAACGTCGCCTAAATAAATCTGTAATTGTTCTTCCATAAGTATGTGTTATAGTTTATAACAATAACATCAAAATCATAATAACAACTAGAACTGCGAAGCAGTAATGAGGGGTTTCACTGGTGCCACGTTACCCTTGAACATATGTCACTTCCAGTGCCAAGTTACACTTGAACTTATCACTTCCGGTACCAATGGAACCGATAAACAGATTTCCACATAAACATTGCAGACGTGTTATAAAATGGACGCAGAATCAACCAAATCCAGCAATATCAATTCTATTTATACATTTGTTACCATGTGTTACATGTGTCAAAAAAGTGATCCTGACAAAATTTCTTATTAACTTACCGCTTAGTTAGCTGACTTTCTAATGGGAAATTAAACAGGACAAAAAATCTTAAAAAGTGATCCTGAGAAAATTGGTTATTACTCGACAAGGGAAGGTGTAAAAAACATTTTTGTGACATCTCTATGATCATATTGATCAAATCTATATATCCATTGGAATCAAATATCATATTGTTAAACAAATAATAAATATAACCCACTGCAAAAAAATATTTGTTTTGAAGGCTTTAAGTACAGTTTTTGCCAAAATGACATTATTTCCGGTGATAATGAAAATGTTAAATTAGTTCTATGAAATAAACAATGGCATAAGGTATCACATGGTGAAAATTTTATGAAAATCGGATATTAATTGACACTTTTATGGACCAAAAACCACAAAAAGTGACTTGTAGAAAATCGTCTATTTCTCTGCAACCGTACAAGTTAGAAACCATTTTGTGGTATCTGTTTGATCGTATGGGTTTATTCTACTTGTTGATTTGAATCAAATATCATAATTTTAAAAACATTACAAATAAGAATCATTTGAATAAAATATCTCTTTTTAAGGCTAAAAATACAGTTTTTGCCCAAATGATGTCATTTCCGTTGACAGCGAAAATGTTAAATTGGTTTGACCTAGTCAAAATTGGCATAAGGCATCAAATGGTAAAAAACCAACCTGAAAATCGAATAATAACTAGATCTGCTATTGTCCCATGCAGATATGAAAGCTTTCATATTCATCGTCACGTGACATGGATTATATAAAGCATCTTAAAAGAAAAAAAGAACAACAAAAAATAATTATCAAAATCGGTGAAAAATTCGCGAAGTTACAAGTCTAAATTTAGTGAGAAACATTGCACGCGGGCAACAAAATAATCTGGAAACTAAAGAGAAATAACTGAGACTTGGATTGCTGTAATCGGAATGACTTTCCGTTCCAGAAGTTTCAGAAAAATGGATCAAGCCGTTTAAAAATGGGACGGATGAGAACATGAAACGAAAATGGCGGGAAAGAACTAAAAAGGGGCAGGAAAATATCAATAAAATAAATGAAATAACTTTGAACGGAACTAATATTTTTTGAATCAGATTGACCTTAGCTGTTCGAATATTTAGGTTAAATTTGTAAATTTTGAAAATTAAAGGCATAAATTGTCCTGCAAACAACTTTTTCGGCACATAAAAGGTCAAAGGCGAAATACGAACATATTACGGCCTATTGTGTTTATTTTCACGTCTGTTCAAGTGGATTTTTCTCTGTTCTTCATATTCAATTCCAAATGGAGACCATCAGTTGACCGAAATCAAAATTCTGTTCTGAACGTTTTTTAGGCATTCCTTCAAGGATTCAGAAAATGTAACTCCAATGTCAGTAAGTCTAATATCGCGAAATTTTTCTCCTTTTAATATATGATAAATATTATCGCGGCGCAGCCAACCGCTGGAAATTTCAGAGATTTTGACCACCGGAAGGATGCCTCAGCAGTCAAAAAAAGTCAAAATAGGCGATTTCGGTTTTTAGTGTTGCGGTCATTTTAAAAAATTGTCTTGTAAGGATAATGTGTATAGTACTAACACCTATCGCATACGGAAGAGGCGATAAGATTCCTTTACATTTGCAATGTCAAAATTAATTAAAACAACATTTAAATTCCGAAAATCATTTTTTTGTTTTTGCTAAAACTCTTTTTTTTTAATCGGATCAAAATGGGAGTAAAGCACAGAGTTCGGGGTGGTAATTGGCGTACTGTGTCCAAATTTCATGGTTTTCGGACAATCGGTGCCGGTGTCGTAGCGAAATTCCAATTTTTTCCCCTTACAGAATCCGTAAATTGACGATCGGCAGGAACCGTGTCAAGAACAAACGACATGAACGAATGCATGTATCGCCTTGAAATTTTCAGGGCACCTAGGTACCAACGTGAAAAGTTCCTAGCCGGAATTTGGTAGTCATGGTACCTTTGGTTCCAGTGTGGCGCATGCGCGTAGTCAAACGAACTTGTGGTGGATTTTGGGTGAATTTCGGAGTGGTTTGGTGTGTTGACCTAAGATGGCGGTCATAATACATGAACAAGCGTTCATGAATTTTTGCGACCGGGATTGATTTTCAATACACAGGCATCGTTCCAGTGGTCCGATTCCCTTCAAATTTGCACAGAATGTACCTTGGGATTCTAGCTATCAAATTAAAAATAGAAGAGTGTGGAATTTCGAGAGTGTTGAAAATAAATTCGAAGCCCACCCCCACCCATCAATGTTTTTTTTTTGCTTAAAAAATAGCCGTATTTTATCGATTTTTTATTGTTCTTAATATCTGAGCATTTTCTCCTTTTAATATGTGATAAATATCATCGCGGCGCAGCCAACCGCTAGAAATTCGAGAGATTTTGACCACCGGAAGGATGCCCCAGCAGTCAAAACAGGTCAAAATAGGCGATTTCGGATTTTAGTGTCGCAAACATCTTTGCGGTCATTTTAAAAAAAATGTCTTTTAAGGATAATGTGTATAGTACTAATACCTATCACATACGGAAGGGGCGATAAAATCCCTTTGCATTTGCAATTTCAAAATTAATTAAAACTAATATTAAATTCCGGTGTCGCAAAAGCTTTAGGGACTTTTCACGTTTCAAGATGGTGGCATTTCCGGTTCGATCGACAAACTCTATATTTTGTGTATGAATCAGTAATTACTTGTCTGGTATCGAAAAAAAATTAGGTCATTCTGACCTATATTTCAATGATTTTTTTTATCCTTAATTTCATTAAGGGGAGATAATTTAGCAAATTTCTAATCATATTTTTGAAGTCGCATCGGTAAGATCTACTTACATGCTAAATTTCATGAAAATCGTACAACTATTAAAGAAGTTGTCAAATTGGTCATAAATACCGGTTCGAAATCACAGCGACGAATTTTCGAAATTCGAAAATTTGAAACCGCAGATTTGAAGTAATTGTCTCACGGTACTCAAAAAAAAAAGATTTAGTAAAATAGGTCAAATAGTCACAAAGTTACAGCATTGTAGGTCAAATGCATTCGTTCGTAAAATTCGGTGATATCGAATTCGTAAAACGTTTTGAAAATATATTTAATCAACAGCCACCACCCATTTTGGGGGGATAGGTAAAAGTTTCAGAAAGATCCTATGGTTAGATTCTGAGAAATCCGATTTGTGGACAAAACACACAAAAAAAAAAAAATAATAATAATCTTAACAGAAACAAT